TACTTAAACGGGAGAAATTTCTACGTTGATAAGTTAAGAGGTAATCGCCTTTCGTTTGCATCCGAGAAACACAACTTTAATACGTAAAATTTGTCTTTTTCAGTAAACGAGTTTTGCGGATCGTGCATTGGCGTAAGAGACATTATGTTAAAAAGCAATTGAATTTGGAACTGGGGTAAAATTTTTCATGCATACAAACGAACCAACAATAAATTGAAAAGCAGATATGAAAAGTTCCACTGTCACATTGAGTTTGACACTACAAATCTTAAACTCTGATCGTAGTGTCGCCAGCAGTCGTACACATGCAAAATATTTGCAGATAAGAAATGGAAATTAAAGTATGAACTGAGCCAAAACACATTTTCTATGCTCGATTCAAAACTTTAAAGTATAAAAACTTGCTTTAAAAATAGATTTTACAATTCCTTGCAGTGCCCGATTTTAAAGGGATTTTTATTCCCTGTGGGAATTCGGTATCATATGATTCGATTTGGGGTTTCGCGGAATATAAAAACTTCTGGTCAAAAAGTTCCAATAGTAACGATACTAGATGTGTGATAAAAAGTCGCTTATGTTGACTGATCACGTTTTCCTCTTTTCATGTTGCAAAAGTTAAGTATGTTGACAGACAGGATAAACCGACGGTCTTTCTTCCGGAGAGTACGTGCTTGCTCCGGATCTTATAGTAGTACGTCATCCAGCTTAACTGTCAATATCTAAGGGTCATAATATTAAGGTTTCTACGTTTACAGAATTACGTACAAAACGATTTGCTTTATTAAATGTAATACAATATTTCCGAAGCGCTTCTAGACATGTTTAAGTAGTTTTCGTTTATCCTTTAGATTAATTACATTTTTTCTTATATAATAAATGGTACCAATCTTGAAACTTAAGTAAATATATAGATAAAACAATTCATTTATCACAAAAGGTATGCGGTCAGATCATCAAAACTATTTCAACTACAACTCACAAATCTAAAACTATAAATCACATCGAGGGTTGGGCAGGACCACCATCGGTAGCGCCTCCTTTGTACCCTTTTTTTTGAATTATTGTGTCTTCTACAAGATTAATTTCTGTTGTTAGATCTAAATTAGTGATCTAATATTTTACATTCGTTGGTATAAATATTTAGGACACCTTGTCATTCTAATTAAAATTTTATTAATTTATTATTCCTTTTTAAAAGGTAATGCTAGAGCGTTAACTGAAAAATAAAAGAGACAGGAAGAAAGTAAATCGGATCAATTTCAAAGTCTGCGGCGTTTGATAAAACGCTTACTGTGGAGTTTTTAAGACATTCAATCAGTAAATATCTGTTGAACTACAATTGATAATAAATAAAGAAAGGTTATTTGGCCAAAAGCAGCATTTTTTTTATGGCCCTTAAACATAAGTTCATTAGCCAGCAGCTCATGTGTTTATTTGGACCTAGTCTAAACCTGTACACCTCTTGAGAAATGATTTGAGGGACCGCAAAGGAGTGGAATAGGATGTACTCTTCACACCCAGGGGTCTGCTTTACATAGAAAAACTGTCCAGTATGCGGGAGTTTCTGACACAGCAACCTACCCTAATTGACATGAGTGCCAGGATGTGAAACTAAAGTTAAACGCTTGAATATCGAAAGTAAGGTAGGATAAAAAGATACTTCCGGCTCTTGTTGCGCAAACATGGCTGGTCCGATTTTTTACAAGCAGAAGGAATTTTTTGTAATTAATTTTTTAGTAGTTGCAGTAATTGTGAAATTTTTACAGTTTTTTTTTGTATAGAAAGAGAAGTGTGGGGGAAGGGCTTCTCATGATTATTTCATACAAAACCAATTTGAAAAAAACGTTAATAACTTATATGTAATGGCCGATTTGCATCGAGCATGATTGGATCAATTTATTTTCTCCATTACGTAACATTATTTTTGCTTTCGGTTTATTACTTGTTGAAAGATCCCCGTAACATTTAAAGTAATTTGAGAGATGGCTCCATCTATTTGAATTTGAACAACGCAATTTTACCGCGCAGTAGTTGTCGATTGTACTTTCTTTTCTATTCATACGCTGGCGCCGAACCGAGATACAGGTCGTTTAAAAAAACAGATGAAAACGTGAGGTGGAACGCATGGAATTCTAATTGTCATCTTTCGTATTATTGCTTTTTATCATAAGTACTGTAGCAGAAACTTCATTTAAAGGTAATGTAATTTAAAATGTAAAGTTTAAAAATACGCGGGTATTGCCCGAATGTGCAAACTTGTTTTGTCGTAGTGAAAGCAGGCGCTGGAAATGTTACCTAGAGGAAAGGGAATTTGATATTTTATATTGCAGCGTAGCACAATTAAGAGCAAAATTTTACGCACTCTAAAACCTTGTGGTTTTGGCCAAAATAATTTTTAATTATTCCACGCCAGCGCCTGGTTTAGGTATGAATCTTTCAAGTCATTAGTTACACTAATGTGTTAAAACTTTTAGTTTGTAAAATCAAAAATAAAGTCAACTCGTCCTGCCATCTTCTTTCAACAACCCAACCCACCTACCAAGCTACCGGTGCAGTACCCATTTGCATTTCGTGTATTTAGAGTATGCCTTCCTTAGGTCGGCTGTAATTTATTGTACTGCAATTTCCATCGACAAATGTAGCATCATCTACGATTAGCCCTCTTATATAAGAGGCAGATAAATTTTTATTTCATCAAAGATGAGAGATTACTTTTGATTTCTTATAGGGTTCAAGTTTTAGTTCCAGACGCTCCGAACACGTCCGACATTACATACGATTCTGTTCGGCGTACAAGTTTCGTAACCCTGGATTAAACTCACCATCATCTGCGGGTGCCGACGCCCCTGGCTTATCTTTCCACCTGCTGATAACAAGCGGCCATTTTGTTTTCAGGTGAATGCCTGATATCACTTCTTGGCATCAACATCTAACTTTATTCCAAGGTAAGAGTTGCCTTATATGTTTTACTTGTACTTGGCCCTATACATGTGAATTTTTGCCCGGAATATCAATTTAATTGTGGAAAGTTGTTTTATGATTCAGTAATTAGTTGCTAATTATTGATTCATTCTTGATTGGGGGTTTGGTTAATTTTGGAATTTCAATTGCACATTTAATATACTAAGAGTTTTGAGTAATGTAATTAATAACTTTGAATATTTGGAGGAATATTATCTATTCGTGTATCCAATTATGGAGTTAATTCATACGGGGAGAGTAAAGATAGAAATTGAGTGGCGCTCAACCCCATTGGTAAGTGCAACGAAGTTAAGATCATATGCCCAGAACGAATTACCGCTGTGGAAGATCTCAAGCTCTTATTTTGTGTTCCAACCCTGACCTAGTTGTCCGTTTATGCGGCAGATTTGAGAAACAGGAGGGGTTGTGGAAATACGTTCCTATCAAAAGGGTTTAAAACCAAGAATCCTCGTGATTGGAAAAATTCTTTCTAAGGGGAAAAAAATAAGGCGCAACGTCAATATCTTATTTCAAAAATAATTTTTATTAAATGTAACGTGGCATCAAGAGTTACACTGTCAGTATGTAACTATAGTTAACACAAATATACAGAATTTGTTAGTGCAGCCTTTAATCTAAATTCCAACTTCTATTTTAAAATTATTGCTAAATAGTTTCAAATTACAATCACATAAACCTTTCCGTGAAACCGTGAGTTGGATGTACCGAGAATTTTAGCGCGGATAATTAGTTAATGTTATTTGAAACTACATGAGCTGTTAACGTTTTGTGAGAAGTGAAAATAGATTAATTCCGTTGATAGACAAGCATATTCGTTGTTTACTAAATTGAAAGGTTTAGAGGATATAATTATGCTTTGTTATTTGAGATTAAATTATTTGCACAGAGTAAAAGGATGCGCACGGTACCAATTGTAAAATTATCTATTAAAATCGTTTCATTAACTATCGATTGGATTGCAATAATTTACATCGATGTGACGTTTCTTGCTTAACAAATTTGTAAATTGCTCCCTCTACATTTTAAATTTTGTACATTAATTACAACTCGCGACCATTCTACATATCGCAAGATTGAAGCAAACCCCCTTCGAAAAAATGAGTCTTTTTGAAAGCGAATTTGGAAGAGAGACTATGCGATGTAATTTACTCATACCAACAATGAATATAGGATTCTGCATGTAAAATTTATGATGGGCAGAGATGTAAATAGATTCATAAATTTAACTCTTCTGCATATAGTCTAATTGACTTTAGTCGGATTGGAACTTCCATAATTGCATGTCGTGGAAAAGTTTACTGCCTCCGTTTTGGGTTGTAGTATTCCATTTAAGCTTTTATGTGCAACGTAAGGTATTCAGGTAACCTTTGCGTATTGAAGCCCACTTGAGTTTGTTTCTGTTTATATAGTATTTGGAGGAAAGTGGGAATGTAATGGTGATGGTAATTATACTGGTGGGAATGTCAACAAACATGACGTCTCCGAAACTACCACTCTCTCCTGATAGAAATTGAGATTAATTCCAGATTCCTACAGGAGTCAAATTACGAATTAATTCCATTACATTTTTTCAGTGAAAATAATGTATTAATGCGCCATAAATGTAAAATGTACGAAGTCCCTTGAAAGAGCATATTACATTTTTTCTTAATCTGGTGGTGGAATTTCGAATTAAAAATTGAATGTGGTCCTTAGAGGCCATCATAAAAATGAAACCTATGAGGTAGGCACCATTATTCTACATAAACTTTACATATTTACTTCTAAAGGTAATATTAATTATGCCATCTGATTGAACAACTTCCTCTCTATGTTGAGGAATCATCTCTGATTAACATAATGTAGTCGATACAAACACCCCATTCCTGTAAACCCCAGTCGATCAAATTGTCAAATCGTATGGTAAAAATATGCATCTAATAATTGGTATAAAACTAGATTCATAAATCTCAATGTAAATCAGGTTCTCTCACACCTGCTGTACAACTCGATGTTTGATTTGTGTTTCTTTTTTATAGACAAGACGAGTTCCATTGTAGCAGTTCAAGGCAACGTGGCCAAGTTACCTTGTGATATAACGCCGTCGTTTTCGGCTGACAAAATACACATCGTTATTTGGTTTAAGGAAGATAACGAGGGTAGACTAATGAAACCGATATACACGTAAGTTTTTTTTTCTGCTAGGTTTCTTAATAAATTTGCACGGATCGTCGGCGATGTCACCAATGCTTATAAATAAATACAGGGCAATCTATTTTCTCCAAATTAGCTCGAGTTGTTACTACACGCGAAACGGCTACGGGAGAAATAACAAGTTTGATTGCTTTTTCTTGTCTCAGTTTCGATTCCCGAGATAATTCTGTATTAGAACAAGGTAAACATTGGTCGGATGAGTTAATCCTGGGAGACCGTGCTTACTTTCGTTTTTATGAGGATCCGGCGAAGTTGACAATAAACAACGTTCTACTGAAAGATGAGGGATTTTATAATTGCAGGGTTGACTTTAAGCAGTCACCCACGCGAAATTCAAGATTAAATTTGACAGTGATCGGTAAGTGCCGCGATAGTGGAAGCCTAAGTTAACTAATCTACTTTCAGTTCCACCGAGTAGTGTGATGGTATTAAATGAAAAGGGAAATAAAGTTACTAATTACGTTCTTGGTCCTTACATTGAAGGGGACGTAATCTCCCTTACATGTATTGCTACTGGAGGTATTGAGCGGCTTTCGTTTTGGGCATTGATCGACTTTCTATTAAATTCTAGGTCTGCCAATACCCAAAGTAACTTGGTGGCAGGAGAACGCCCTTTTAGATGATTCCAGCGAAAATTTGTCAAATAATACAGTACGCAACATACTTCATATGGAAAAACTACAAAGAAAGCATTTTCACACAATATTAACTTGTCAAGCTTCCAACAATGATTTCGTTGCTCCTATTTCTACCTCAATGCGTCTCGATCTGAATTGTAAGTCCTTATTCCATTTAATTATTTAAACGGTATTTCTTTATTTGTCGGTATAAACCGCGGGGATGATTTTTTTTATTTCGTGGATGTCTCTTGAATATAAAGTATAAATTTTCCTTTCCATTTCTTTTAAATTACGGAAAATGTTGAGCTATTGTCTTATGTAATTTTTTTTATATCACGAACAGATTTTATGTCTTTTTGCAAATTGAATACTGGAACAGACAAAATTTGAATGCGGTATCTTCAAGGTACGTTTACGGAGACCGGATTGCATAATTTTCAATTACAAATATTGTATTTAAATGTACGCGAGCCTTCTAAATGGCTAAATAATAAATCTTGTATTCTTTATCGAATGCAATGTCAAAGTAGCACCCCACGCCATTTTTTTGTATAGAAACCTATGTCTAACTAAAATCTAGTCTAACTAAAATCAAGCTAACATAGGTTACTTATGTAGTAATTAGAAATGAATAAGAGTTGTTTTTATAAAGTCATGTGAATTTAATTATAAACAAATTTGTTAATTATACAATTCGTTGTGCTGTGTGTCCAAATATCAAAATAACTTTAATAGGTTACGGGCCTTATCGCTACAATAAAAAGTACTGATCTCTGAAAAGTATTGTACTACAATGACCATTAATGCTTCGTTAGTTACGGAAAAGCTTGATGGGTGCTGCGGGGGTTTCCTAAATTGCCCCACGTTGGGCGCCAATTCACGTAATATGGAATCATACGTCCTAACTTAAATTTCATGATTTTTTTCGCAAAAGACCTTAATTCAGGGTAGTTGCGGGAACTTGCCTAATTGCCGCGGGGGTTTACTAAATTGTCCCACTGACGGGTGACAAAGGTATCTAGGTTATCAATATTAATACTCGGCTACACTTTGTTAATTACCTATTGACCTTGGTTTAATAAAAAAAATGAGAATTGCAATCAGGAAACTGTCGCACAAAAATATCTAGCTCAATCGGTTCAATTTCTTTTTTATTTTTACCTGTCATCCGTTGGTTTGCTCAAGGAATCCACCGCAACGGAAATTCTTACAAAATGAAAACCGGGTAATTTGCACTGGTCAATTCAATAACGACTACCTTTAACTTTTTATATTGAGTAAAAAACAGACACACACGAAAGTTCATAGGAAACTTAAGTATGAATTTCGCTAGCTACAGTAATTCTTTATGAAATGACATAAACTTGGATTCCAGAAAACTATGGTAAATACTGGTCATAAAATTTCTTCGATAAGAATACAAAAATATATATTTTTAAATATTAATATACCTACACAAGGGATAATGGTTTTTTAATTACCAACAATTAATAGAATATGTGTGGAAGTAATTATTCCTTTAGTTTTGCCCCAGTCATTGAAAGGTTTGTACGCCTTTTCGTACCTCTTTCTTGACTTTGTGGGGAGCGAATAGTGCACTACGGAGCCGCAGCTTCGGCTACATTATAACAATGTCTCGCGTAGATACTCTTCTTCACTGATACTTGCTTTTGTACCTATAAAGACTGTATAGTTGAAAATTACAAAGCATAAACTGCATTAAAAATGACACTGATCGTACTTTTCAATAAGCCTCCACGTCATGTAAACGACCGCTTTCATGACTTATTATGTAAACTATTACATACGCATCTAAAAAATGGACCCTTGGTAGTGCAATATTGGGTAACTTCATTAAACCTTTTCTTGGATTATCTTTTTGATAGTGGCAACCAATATTCACCACAACTTTTTTTAAGGTACTTTTGGACCCATTAAATATATCTTTTTCTTTTAAAACTTGCAAAAGGATTGAAGCGTAAGGTTAGAACCTAGAATACAAACGTAAACTGATACACAAATATTAATGTAATTTTTTTTTTAGTATCAATTGATTTTATTTAAATAATATATAGAATATTTCGAACATTTAAAAAAAGTTTAAAGATTTAAGAGAGGAAGTAAATTTCGTCTGAAGAGATTGTATTGTATTGTGTAACACTAGCAGCATTGCCGCACTGAATGGGCAGACTAAGTTTTTGAATAGGAATGTTTTCGAACGGTGCTCTCCTGTGACATTTTTCTTGCTTAAAATATTCACAAACTTCATAGCTTCCGTATATAATTTAAAAAAAATTTCATTGGCAGTTCTACATTTTTCTTTCTACCTTCTTCACATTCTTTTATAATTTGACAATGTTTATCAAATATACTAAACACGGGGAACACACTTGTACCATTTGCGTCTTCACACATGGCAAATAAAAATTCCTAATCCGAAAGTAGCTACTAGCAAAGCACAGATAAACTAACTTAACTAAATTAATTCATAACGGATTGCAGCAAATATGATGAAAATATTCCCTTCTTCCATATCCTATACGAGTTCGTGCAACCGATCACCATCTTGTACAGGGAACGGAAATTTGCTTCCGGGAGTTCCCGGCCAGGGGGACTATGATTTTCGGATTCAGCGGATTTTTTACATAGAGTACACTTGATTTCGTTGGTGAAATTACAACATCCAGCCTAAACCGTAATTTGATTGGTCTACTTACTGTGTTGGATCATGTCGTAGATGAAGTTCCGAATCGTTACTTGTGTGAAACCATCAATATCCCTAACGGGTTCCTGACATTAACCTTGTTTTTTAGGACTTTCTAGACGTTTGTCCGATGTAGCAATTCGTGAAATAAAAGTAACTGTTCGCAGACTAATGTTTAATGTGTCCGCAAATAAAACTTGTTACGTATACGAATTTTTATACAGGGTGTTACATGTAAGTATGTAAAAAAAAATGTGGTAGAGAGGATCAAAGCAAGCGCCTTTGCCTAATAAATCGAGGGTCCAACGTGTTTCGTTTGGCAGCCACCCTAAAAAAAGTGGTGAAATTTGCATTTCTTCTTTAATTTGTCAGCAACCATAAGAATTAGAAAAACTGCCTACAACGAAAGGGCGCACCCCTAAATGGAAGTGCGAAAACAATTCTGATTTCGACGAAATTTGGTATATGGCGGTTTTTGAACATAAAAATGACGAATCTAAAATTAGTTTTTGAAAATTCGCAAAAAAATTCCACTGCAATTCTTGGCCGGGCAACGAAAATGGAGAGAATTCCACGAAATTTGTTGTGTACATACTTAATGAGTTAAGTTTTTTTTTAAATCACTTCAAACAAAAACATTTGAAGTTTGGTCCTTCGGATCACATTTCACAAAGTGTCTCCGGCCTGCTGGTGAGTCATGTAATTTCGGATGCGAATTGAAAATGTCACCAAAAAAAAATAATAGTCACTGCAATTATTATCTTTGGTCATAGTATAACCATAACCAAATTTTATGTTTATACCTGTACCTTTTATGTGGTATTTTATCTATATTTGTAATATTTGTTTATAATTCTTGTTGTGTTAGTATGTAGTGAATGTTTTAATTATGTTATGCTTTATATTTATAGAAAATGCCCTCTAGCGCGTTTACTTTGAACCCGACGCAAACAGTGTAGAAGTTTTTTTGTAGATCTCATCAAGACCCTTCTTTTTTGTAATTAACACTTTTCACTTTGATGCTGACTTTTAGATGAAAATGCAACTTAAAAAAATAAAATAAATAGTTTAACAATTCAAAAGTTCTCAAAACCAAAGGAACTCACAAAAAAACTGTAATGAATTTTTTGTACAGTTTTTTAAGCCATTTTGGCCAGTGTAAGTTAAAAAAAGAAAGAAAAAATTTTTAAGCCGTTATGGATCTTAAAACCAAAATAGGACGTTTTCGATTCCCCATACCAAATTTCGTCCAAATCTGTTCAGGGGTTTTTTGGTTATCGTGGTCACAAAAAACGAACCACATACACATTTGTCCATTTTCCTTCATGCCAAAACGAAATAAATATGTATATGTTACCCCTTCACAAATGTCCAATTTGGCCAGAACCAATGCATAACATCAACAGTTCATTGTGTGTGGTCAAGGTTTAATATAACAAAAATTGAAGACTGTATGATTGGAACGCGATGGAAGCCGAAGGAGAGTTTGTTAAACATGTATGTTCCGCCCAGAATAAAAATCGATTTTTAGAAGATATACAAAGATCTCCAAGAAGGATTTCAACATCACTTTAAACATGCAATAAAAGTTGTAAGTGCAGCGAAATGGCCTCCCAATCTATGTTTTGACTCAGCGTGGGGTAAAAAATACAAAGTAAACGGCGGCAATAAGACAAAATTGTATAACACTATGGTTGCAAAGATCTTCAACGTAACAGAGAAACTGCAAGGTCACTGGGGAATCGAAGAAGTGTCCTGGCGGGAAATGTTCAAGAGACCTTCTTTGGGAACAGATTCTGTCATCGCGTGGAGGTGCGCCAAAAACAGGATAGCGCATATGATTTTCTTGAACAACGTGAGTGTGGTATCTACTAGGGTGTCCTAAAGAGGGGAATGCCTGGCATATAGTGATGACATGTAGACAGACCAACGAAATCTGGAACTTCGTGAAAAACCAGATATCCAAATTGCTACCGGATACAGAAATAAAAGCTTCTAAACGTCCAGAAAACGCAATATTGGCATATCGAAAATTTATCACGATTACAATACTTTCCTTTATACATACTTTGTATGTAGTCGGAAAGAAAAAAAGGATTTAAATCGAAAGTTGGCATTACAATATTCCCCAAAAACGGAATTGATGACGTCCGCGCAAACTAAGGAAAATCCTGTTGACATGCTTTTTCAGCTACGTAACATACAAGGGACAACCTAAAATTGGAAATATCCTTCACAGCAGTACAACTTTAGATAACAAAAGATCTATCGGCATAAAGCAATTTACACAAGTCAACTAACAAATATTCAAAATATGTATAATGGAATTTGAATTTAAAACGGTTCGATTGACCACGTGCTTCTCATACTTCGTATTGTAAATAGACGTGCAGTCTAGCGAGAGTACAACTTCAAGAATGCAAAAGCGTAAATCAAGCGAAATTATTGTCA